TCGCACTCGCGCACCATGAAAGCAGTGGATGTGGCAATCGCGCTGCGTGGCAGCATGCCTTTACACGCATGGCAGGAAGCCAGGTTCGCTCCAGGCAAAGCATTGAGAACATTTTTCCCGCACCTTGGTTGACTTATTAATCCTAAACCCTAAACCCTAAAGACTTGTCAGACCTCAATAAGCAATACATGAGACCACCCCGTGCCCAGGTGCTCTCTGCGTATGTTGCTTTCACAGCGTCAAGCTCTGGGGTCGAGCAACATTTCAGCAAGGTGGATCGTTGCCACCTTGAAAGAGGAAACGGACACAACGATTCCTTTCGCAGATCTGTCATCGCTCTGGCGGACGACGGACATGAAGCGTCGGACAAGGCACTTGTTGAAAGCGCGCGCCGCATCTATGCAGAAGGGCGGCAGCGTGCGGCGCAGCCGCGCAGGAAGCGACGAGACGCAGGAGTGCCGCGAGCGAGTCCGGGCGATCTCGAGGACAAGAGCGGCCTGAAAACTGAAGCAGACTGGTTGCGCAAGCGGCGGCGTGATTTGGACGAGGCCATAACAGAAACTCCACCGCCCAAGAGAGCAGCCACAATGGATTTCACGCCAGAAATGGAGCGCGAGGCCAAGCACTTGAAGGGCGTCCTTGAGAAGCGCCGCATGGAGGCCCAAGCAAATGGGAGCTTGCTCGACTCTGAGAAAACGAGTGCAAGGAAGGTGGAAGCTTGGCAGAACAAGCTACGCCAGGAAGATGCAAAGCGCATTGGGACACAAACAAGGAAGCAAGAATTCTGGGACATGGCAGGTCAAAAAAAAACGCGTGATCATTTCGAGAAGATGCTCGCAGGCAAGACGGTGTGGCTGGGGAGGGAGGTTCAGAATCTTCGGCAAGCTTGCCTCAACTTTGGAGCTCATGCTGTAACTTCCGAGTTGTCCGCCGCGAATGTCTTCCTTGTGGACAGTCTCAATCCGGAGAAAAAGGCCCAGTGGGCGGCTACACTGCAAGGTGGCACATTGATTTCGCAGACAGTACTAGAGCCACAGGCACCCGGAATTTTTGCGCTGCACTTCCGGAGAGGTACTGCTGAGAAGTGCGTCTTGCACATGACGCCAGCTTTCATGGACAAAAACCCTTCAGTGAGCAGTTTCCTGCGCGGCGTGGTCTTACCCGCTGACCCCGGATCGGCGTGGACATTGTCTGATGAGCCCAGCAAGGCCAAGGTTGTGCTCTGCGTCTCAAAAGAAATGAAGGCAATGAAGAAGCGGGGAAGAACAACTTGCACAGCCGAGGACTTCTTGATCACAGTCGCACGGCGGAACTTGTGCCCAGCAATGTCTGGTCGTTCCTAAACTTAGGTCAGAGTACAGGGGTTTTGACGAGCAGCTGCTTGCGGAGGGGACACGCAGAGCACGGTGAACAGCAGTGCTTCCGGATTTGTAGGATTTTTGGTTATGTTTAAGGGGCTTTGTCTGGAGGGCATGGTTGACCTTACACGGGGCGTGCGGGATGACGTTATACGGGCGTGCAAAGCAGTAAGAAAGAGCGGTGCCTACTGTTCTAGGATTCTTGGTTATTATGTTTGAGGGGCTAGCCTGGTATAAGTACTATAGGTCTAAGATTATAGTCTGCAGGGTATGGTTGACGTTACACGGGGCATGCGGGATGACGTTATAACGGGCGTGCAAAGCTCTAAGAAACAGGGGCTATAGCTTGGTATAAGTACTAGGTCTAAGATTATAGTGTGCAGGGTATGGTTGACGTTACACGGGGCGTTCCAGATGACGTTATAACGGGCGTGCAAAGCTCTGGGCTAGCCTGGTATAAGTACTAGGTCTAAGATTCTAGTCTGCAGGGTATGGTTGACGTTACACGGGGCGTTCCGGATGACGTTATAACGGGCGTGCGGGGTGACGTTATAACGGGCGTGCAAAGCTGCCAGAAACAGCGTTCCCTAGTGTCCTTACGCAGAGACTTGGGTCCAAGTCGGCGCGTAAGGACACTATGGACTCCATAGTGTCCTTACGCAGAGCCAGACCGGTCCGCCGGCGCGTAAGGACACTATTGCGGTCAGCGTCCGTAGTCCCCTAGTGTCCTTACGCAGTCGGTTGCAGCGTGCAATAGTGTCCTTACGCAGCCACAGACCGGTCCGGCGGCGCGTTGGGACACTATGGACTCCATAGTGTCCTTACGCAAAAAGTTGGGGCATCGCCGGACCGGTCGGCCGGCGCGTAACGACACTAGGGGCCGCGGCGTGCGGGGTTTCCGCGCATCGCCGGACCGGTCGCCGGGCGCGTAAGGACACTAGGGGCCGCCGTTTCGCGACCTTTCGTGACGTTATAACGGGCGTGCGGGGTGACGTTATAACGGGCGTGCGGGGCTTCCGCGCATCG